AAACATAATGGATGATTTCTCTTCAAAGGGGCTCTTATCATCTCGTCCCATTTCCCAGAGGCTGCCTCAAATCTGCCTTTCTTTCTTTTCCTGCTACTGCTCTCATCCTTCTCTCCTGCCTGCTCTCTGGAGGGCAGCCTCAATCTAATACAAGTGTGTCAGGAAGTGCGGGGATGCAAAGTGCTGATGAGCCGAAAGTAGCCCACCTCTGCAGTGTGCTGCTTCGTCTAAACACGCTCCAGCCTGATTAGAAAAGCAAACCTGTGCTTACATCCCTGTGCAACCGTATGGCACAAGCCCTATAGAAACAAATGCAACATTTCTTTTGTTGAGGAAATACAATGAGTTATATTCCAAACGGTCCTTTTTTGAGAAAAAATGTTTTGATTTTATCATTTACTATATATAAAGACACAGTGCAAAACCCTGTCCTGATTTGACTGAAACCAGAAATTGTCTCATGCATGTGCATATTGTTTCCCAACAGCTAGTCTCAGCTTCCTTCATTTCTTTTGAATAAATACATTTTTGAATTATCCAGGATGTTTTAATCAATTTCTCTGGATGTATTGTTGAGGCTTACAGCTGTAGTACTTTATTTTCCTAATGCATATTCCTTTTTCTTGTTTGCACATTTTTTGCTTTTGTTTTTGGGGGGTTTTGTTGTTGTTCTCTGTCTTGTTTACTTGTCTACTCGTTGCTTTACAGAAGAACACTGTACATATACATTGAGAGATACTGTAACAGAGTCAAATTCCTCATGTATCCAACACATCTGGCCAGTAAAGCTGATTCTGATTCTCTAGACAACTAGTAGAAACCCTATAATTAAACACAGCCCTTCACACTTCCTCAGTTTGCTGTAAGCAGAGAGCTGAATTTTATATGACAGCAGATCACTGGCACTGGTCTGAGGGCTCTTGTTTCTTATTTAGCAATAAGTGAACTAGAATCCTCTCTTGCAACAGTATGCAACCTGCAGAACCACATAAATATTATGTCTCCCTAGGAACACAATAGTTGTATCTATTGTGGGACTGTTTTTCCATGTCAGATACCTAAATGAAGGTTTCTAACTCTCACAGGAGCACACTGCAACATGTTTAAAAGCTCTGGTGATTAGATTAAAGGCTGGCAAGCTTCATCTTTTGTTGAGCCATACACTCATACTCGGACACAGACACATAACCTTATAACACTCTCAAACCTCTATCCTGCGAGTATGCGAGGCTCTGAGGGCTGTGCCACTGGTGTGACAGATGGTACCAGGAGGCCTGGTGTTGCGTCCTTGTGATGGCTCACCCGGAGCCCCATCCACAGTGCTCACCATCACCACACTGTTTAGCTTGACATGTGAGCTAGCAGTCGTCCAGCTCCCAGAAATAGATGGCCTGTGTCGACATGGCCGAAGTCAAAGGGCATTGAAAAGCAGCTTTGACAAGGTTACATTTAAAAGCCAAATCCATTCTTGATTCACTTATTAGAATTATTTTCTAGACAACTTTGTGCCCATTAGTAGGTCAGTTAGATAAAATCTGTATTGTTTTTTTTTTTGTTGTTGTTCATTTTCTTTATTCTAGCAAAACATTATTTTCTTAGCCTTTATATTTATAAATGAACATTCTGCTTTCTGCTAACATAAACATTGACAGTGGGTGAAATGTATTTTATCAACACAGAAAATGGATGTTAACAGTTTTCATCTCTAAGATGATCTGTATATAATACATAGCCTGTGCCTGAGCCTCTCATGCAGCAGGAGTCACTTTCAAAGTGATTCAGAGCTTCCAAGCTCATTAAATGTTAATCACAAAAAGCCATTTTCAGTTCGCTTGGAGATTTCAGGGCAGCTGGGAGGCCATTGCTACTGAGTGAAAGGGCTGATCATTTTTTATTTTGGAAATGTTTTTAAAAATATATTTGAGCTTGGATATTATCATGTGACAGTGATCTACTGTAACCTTGACAAAATCAGGACAGAAAAAAGTCTTTAAAAGCTTCAGCTCTGAATTTTGAGCTACACATGACCACAGTCCATTTTAAGTGGCACAGAGACAGGGCTGAGGCCGCCCTGTCTCACAGTGGCTTTTTGCAGCACATCCATTATTTCATTATTCATGATGTTTTCTCAGACAGTGCCTTGAACTACGAGGAGTACCTCCTGACTGTCTTCTCCAGAAAGAGCCCTCTGGAATGAGAGAACATGTGCATGAGCTGCACACACCAGAAGCCCTGTTTTCATCTGCTTTTGCAGAAAAACAGATGTCCGGTAGCATGTGGAGAGCCACAATATTTATAGTCTGGACCTCAGTGAAGATGGTGAAAGGGAGCTGGTGAATTAGACATACTGTAGATGAACTTATGGAACACTTTCAAATTAAAACAGTATGTGTCTGTGAAATTTTCTGTAGTAACTTGGCATCATCCACCCAGACTCTCATTCTGTCTTCAGAAAAGGTTTCTTTCTCTCTAGTTTCTGTTTAGAACTTTTCTACTGCGATTTCCTTTGTGGCAATTCAAAAGAGTTGCAGCTTTATTTGTATTGTTATTTTAACATGAATAATGTAAATGTTTTATCTGTCTCCATAGATTTTAGCAGTTCAAATCAAATCAAATTTTATTTGTATAGCGCCAAATCACAACAAAAGTCGTCTCAGGACACTTTACAAAGTAAGGTCTAGACCTTACTGTTATCAATATTATTACAGAGGGAAAACCCAACAAATCCCCCTTGAGCAAGCACTTGGCGACAGTGGGGAGGAAAAACTCCCTTTAACGGAAGAAACCTCCGACAGACCCCGGCTCTTGGTGGGC